GAATTAAGCAGGGGTGAGATAAGGCCTTCGGCAGTAACGCCTGTGACTCTCTCATCAGGGCGCTAACCGGATTGGGACGAGAGGATCCCGCCGCTCATCCGCGGAGCCAGAGGCTACGACTAAAACCATTTCACTTCAAAAATAACCCGTCCGACCAATCTGCAATAACGGAAGCAAGGCAACAGACGTGAAGAATGTATGAACGCACTCTCCGACTCAAGAGGGTCGAAATGGGATCCGCTGTTTTCTTTCTCCGTCTCTCTCCGTTCCTTCTGTCTTTTCTCTCTGAGTGTGACCGCGCTGTGGGGTTTTAAAAAAAAAGGACAATGCCGGACCCGGTGGGGCCGGGATTCCCGTCTTTGCCGGTCAGCAGAGTTTGCAATATCAGGGCTCGTTTTTTTTCCTACCTACAGAGGAAACCTCTCGCTGCCATTTTCTCGTCTTACGGTTCGAAAACAAACTAAGCGTGTCGCCTTACAACTTCCGCTCGACGCATTTCACCGGGGGTGGATTTGACCTCACTGAGTTTGGGATTTTGGAAAAAAAAAAACACGAGGGCTGAGGGGGTGCTATCATCTTTAAGGGGTTGGAGGTGACAGAAACCACACCGCTCTTCTTTTCCAGTTGGCTGGTGTCCAGTGTCAGCCATTGTGGGCCCTTTGTCGACTTCAAGCCGCCCTGTCCGGGGTGTCCAGTGTCCCCGGTAGGCCGGGGTGGTGTAGTAAAACATGTCCGAATTCAGTCCTCTATTTAACCCAACCGCATCAGAGGGACCCTCCTCACGCTTTGTCTGTTGGCTCCTTGAAAGCTGATAGGCTGAGTAATGTCTTCTAAAAGGAGCCCGTTATGGAGATCAAAGGCGAAGAGCTGGAGGGGGGGGTGGGGTGGGGTCACAGAGGCGTGGTGTCCAGTGGCTTCACGATGTCTGCGGCAGGACATCGATTAGGATACTTTGTAGGTTTTGGTTTAAGGCGCTTTGAAGAGTGCTGCCCAGGAAGTCAGATTATTTTGGCCTTTTTTCGGTGCACAGCCGGCCTCTAAATGATTCTAAACAGCTTTGTCAATTGATAAGGATGGCTGCTTTGCTGTAAAAACAGAAAAATAAATCTTTTTTAAAAGGATATTGCAGATAAAACAATTAAATACTGGAACAAAATCTTAACTTTTGTTATTGTTCGTAGAAAATAAAATGAAATCAATTCAAACTTAAATACTTTTTTCCATCTTAAGTTAAAATAAATGCACACATGATAATGAAAATGAAAATTATATATAGAAATATAAATATTCTGAGTGAGTTAAAGCACGAAAAACCTCTACAAATGTAATTTTTTACAACCTTGCGACCCCTGAATCTGACATCACTGGCTTCGAAACGCTCAGTAAATAGTGAAATTATTCCCAGATGATATTCCCAGCGTAAGGTGTACATATGAATAGTGTTTCCAGAGAGTTTTAAGGCTGTCGAGTAGTGACCAGTGACCAAACGGGCTCAAACTCCTCATCAGACCTCAGCAAAGTCATCACTTCTGGCTCGTAATCGTCAGCTCAGGGTCTTTAATCCTGACGAGGGCAGAGCAGACAGAGAGAGACCAAACAGCAGCTCCCAGGGAGGAGAGGCGAGCAAAACGGGGGACGGACAGAAGCCGGTCATTTTACTGCACACACAAGCCATAACAGAAACCAAGAGCTCGGCGAGGGGGGGGGGGGGGGGGGGGGGGAAGCAAAAAGGGCGGCCAGAGGAAGCCCTGGAAACAAAACCTTTAGCCTCTGTGTTTACGATGCATGTCACATAAACGACAAAGACCTAAAAAACATTTTTTTGGTAGTGACGATGATATGAGGTGTCGTTAAAAAAAAAAAAAAAAAAAAATCTGTATGATAAACCTCCGGGGGAGCCTGGGGATCAATTTGTAAAATGTGTGTATTTTTTTCAGTTGTATTTTTGATTTTTTTACGATAACTATTTATTTTCAGGTATGTATTGGATAAATGTATGTACATGTTTGGTTCCTGCTTTACTTCATTTGAACTAATTTTAAAAGTAAATATGAAACATTAAAAAAAAAAAATAAAGTCATACTACGCTACTGTATGTGTACATTTTGAGAACAAATTGTGCAATGATTTAACAGATTTCCATGACTCAAGTGATAGTAATATAAATTGAAAATATCATCTGGAAAATAAATGATGAAAATGGTGATGTAAAAGGGAAAAAATAAAGCAATCCAGGCGGATCTGCTGATAATCATGAACTCTGTTTTGCATTTCTTTTTTTCCCCACACACTCACTTAAAGTGATTTAAGGCTTAATAAATGCTAATTTAACATTTTACCAGCAGCACAGAGCAGAAACCTCCCTGTAGCGCTTTGAGAACTGAATTCTACGTAGGAAAAAAAATTAATAGAGATCTTTTATTACCACGCTTGGCAGGCTGACTGAAGAAAAAAAAAAAAAGAAGAAAAACCCGTCTCAGGGTTTCACATTCACGACCCACGTTTAGCAAAAGTGGAACAAATCATCAGCCCGAACGCCGCTGCGCTGAAATGTGCCCATGCTGTGTTTTATTTCCACCGGTGACAGACTCTTCTTCCACAGGTTCTGGAGGGGGGGAGCGGTACAAAAGAGCCTCAGTAGGTGGCGCTGCTCCCTTTCACAGGGAGAGCGGGCCGAAGGCTGGAATCATCATCAGACACTGGAGAGACCTGCCTGCATGAAGACGTCTTCTATAAATACACACTGATATACATAGCTTCATACATAAAGGTATACTGGTGTCATATTGTACGCACATATAAAGGAATATATTAATATCAAAGACATACACATGCTTACGTACTAACCCAAATAACTTAGATTATGAAAGATAAATCATACAAAAAAACAGTACTTCTTAATGTCAAATCTCTATGTGACAGTTTTCCCTAAGATCTAAATGAGGTCTTCCTTGTTTGTTTTTGTTTTTTTTTTAAAAAGTCATCTGAAGCTGGGGTGGTGTGATTCAGCCCCTGCCCCCTTTCGCCAGGACCTCCTTCCCCTGGCCGGTCCGGGACAGCAGCACGCAGACGCAGGACGAGTCTATCCGGATCCACCTCCAGCCGGTCCGGTTCTGGGCGTCGCGGGTCAGCGCGCGGACGAACGACTGCCGGGCCTTGCACTCGCTCTGCCACTGCTTCCTGTCCACGCCCAGGCAGCCGCCGCCCGCCACGCCCGTGCCCGCCGACCGCCCCCCCGCCGCCCCCGCCGACCCCCCCCTGGCCCCGCCCCCCCGGTGCGGGTGCTGCTCGGCCTGCCGGCACCGGGTCTCGTAGAAGTACTGCTTGAGGGGCCCGGTCTGGGTCTGGATCTCCTGCAGGATGCTGACGTTCTGGCCCCGCATGTCGATGGCCGACCGCTTGTCCACCACCCAGCTGCTCTCCGCCTCGCACACCGACTTCTCCCCCCGCTTGCGGTCCATCAGGTGCGAGCGCTTGTCCCTCCTGACCGGGCGCGGAGCCGCCTGGGGGGGGCGGGCGGCCCAGAAAGGGGCGGGGCTCCGGTCCCGGGGCCGGTTCCCCCCCCCCCTCCCCCTCCCCCCCCCCCCCCCCCTCCTCCTCCTCCAGCAGGCCGCTCTCCAGCATGAGCAGCAGGGGGGGGTGCTCCGGCGCCGAGGGCGACGGCGAGAACAGCACCCGGGGGTGCGCGTCCAAAAACATCTCCTCCTCCAGGAGCCCGTCCAGGCCGGCCCCCGGCCCCGGACCCGGGCCCTCGGCGGGGGCTGGGCCCCCCCGGGTCGGCCCCCCCTGGGTGGGGCCCAGAGCTCTGGTCCCCAACCGGGTCCCGGCCTGGTTCCTCAGGGGCCCGGCGGCCGCCGTGGGCTCCGGTCCCCTCTGACCCCGGGGGGTGGCGGTCCGTGTAGAGTCCGGCGTGTGGTCCTCCGGGGGGGGGCTATCCTCGGAAACGGGGGTCCTGGGGGCTCCTCTCTCCGGGGCGTGGGCGGTTTGGCGGGCGCTGTCCGGGTCCGCGGTCTCGGGGTACTCCTGCGGGACGGGGGGGGTCCGTGGGCTGAGGGCGGCGGCGGGTCCGGGGGCCGGCCTGGTGGCGGGGGGGGGGGGTGGGGGAGCAGGGGGGGGGGGGGTGGGGGGGGGGGGGGAGGGGGGGGGCAGAGACAGGGGGGGACGGGGTTAGTTTAAGTTTACTTACAGCCAGACAAAGCACCCAATTAGAGCGCGCGCCCGGGCGCCTTTACTGGACCCCCCCGCCGCTTTAAAACCTTGGCAGGACCGGTGGAAAAAAGGGAAGCGGTTCCAGCCGACGCGCGTCCCGCCGACCTTCAGATGGAGACGCTCTCGGCCCCCCCCCGACGGCGGCGATAAAGAATTCCACGGGCCCGGAAAACCCTCGGCTTTTAAGGCTTTTATTCCCGCTCCCTGCGAGTCTGACCTGCACCCCTCGTCAATCCAGTGGGGGCCAATTAAACGCCCATTCCAGAACAGAACGAGATACGTGCAGGTTTCTGGGAGATAAGCGGCAGATTTACGGCTCCGGGACGCGGCAGAAACCGGTTTGGTGACGAGGATCTGCCCCGAGGCCACCGGCCCGCTTCGACCCCGGCAGTTCAGGAGCTGCCGCCTTTCAGGCCGAGGACCGAAAGGCCTCCGAAATGATACAGCGGGTTATGAGAGCGGACGACATTCAGATCGCCAGAGGATGGACACTTTGTTTCCAAACAAAGGGTGAATTTTTCTAAAAAAAGATCGGGAGAAAAAGGCCTCTATTTTGGGGGGGAACTGGATCCGTTCGGGGAGAGATTCGAACTCCCGTGGTGCTCCTCTGCCCCTTCGGCGAGATGACGAGCCCAGGAGTTATGGCAACACTTACACAGGGACGCAAAAATGTAAACACCCCCCCCGCCGTCAGAGGTCTTTGGGGCCGAGTCATTTCTCCGGCGTGTGACGTGGCGGACGGGGCCGGAGGCCGGAGGGCGGGACTCATCTGACTAACGATTCCAGGTACAGCCGCCGGCCCTTCGAGGGACTTAGAGTTAAAGGAGGAGGAATGATCAGAATGCCGCATGACTGAGGCTCGTTCCTGCTTTCCGAAGGAGTTTCTGAGAGGCCGAAATGAGCAGAAAAAGGGCGGGCGTGTTGGCCTAAGTTTGTCTGGGCGGGTGTGTGAGGCTGACTGAGCGGATGCATCATCGGTGTGTTTGGGCTGGGAGATCCCCTCGCTGGGCGTGGGGTGGGGGGGGCGTGGAGGGGGGGGTGTGGGGGGGGGGGGGGGCACGCCCCGGACACAATGCGGCCGGCGGGGAGCGACCAGCTCTGGCTGAGAGGCTTTAGGAGCCTTTTCAGCCACACGGCGAGCGCACGGCGGCCCGCTGCTGGACGGAGGATGAGGAGGCGGGGGGGCGAGGAGCAGGCGGGGGCAGGGCTTCGTCGCCAGGCTCCATTTGCTACGATGACACA